TGATGCATTTTAAAACCACAGCAGAAACAGTTGCAGAACCTCCTGGTGCAAGCAAAACAGAGAGTTCCATCATTTCACAGTCTCAGGTCATGACACATACAAGAACCTCACAAACTGAGATGGTAGGGGTATTAAAGGATTCTGAACTAGCTACCAGTTCTGCCACTGTAGAAGTGAGAGGTTTAGACAACTTCTCGGAAGTTGAGGCAGTTGCAGCCATGAAAGATGTGGAAGCGAGATCAAAAACTTCATACTTAACACAGACGAAAAATTTTGAAATGGTTGTGGGGTCTGGAACAAGTTCAAAATCTGTACGGGAACAAATAGTAGGTCATTCAGAAGCAGTATTAGAGTCTTTGCCCAGAGTAGAAGAAAAAGGTATGGCATCAGAAATAGTGACAGAAGTGAGAAACTTGAAAGGAACTTTAGAATCTAAGATTTTGACAGATGTGAGAACTCAGGGACCTACTGTAGAATATATAATTGCAACAAGGAGGACAAGCACCAAAAAAAATGAGCCCTTGCTTATAAATGTAAAAGATTTGGAAGAAGCTTCAGAAACAGAGAATGCAATGAAAGCAAAATATTTGCAGTCGGCATCAGAAGCTAGAGAAGTGAGGTTGTTGGAAAGTATGGAAGAGTCTACAACAGTAGAGGTGAAAGGTTCTGAAACAGCTGGAGAGCCGGAGGTACACGTGAATATCCAAGGTCTGGAAGATTCACAGAAGTCTGGAAACGTGGGCGTGATGAATGTTTTAGAGGACGCTTCAGAAGCTGTTCCAGAATCTTTGCACACTGAAAAGCAAGAACATCTGCAAGCAGTACTAGAAGAAAAACCTGCTACAGAATGGAAGAGTACAGAAGAGGTTCCAGAAGTCTTGAGCGCTGCTGAAATGCAATCACCTGAAGCTGTTCCAAAACCAGGGGACATGAAAGATCTGGAAACAACGCTGGAATGTGAAGTGGCAGCAGAAGTACAATATGCAGAAGGGGTGCAGGGTCAACAAATGGAGGATGTGAGAGTGCCAGGTCAAGCTCAGGAATGCGAGATACTGGTTGAGAAGAAAGATGCAGAGCAAGCTCAAGCATCTGAACCTTTAATAGCGGAAACAGTTTTTAGTTCTTCACATGCAGCAGAAGAAAAAAATTCAGCAGAGACTCCTGAATTTGGAATAATTGGAGACACAAACCAGTTGGAAGCAGCTTCAGCTTGTGTGGCAGAAACAGAAGATTTGGAAACTGCTCCTGTTCCTGAGACTGTTGTAGAGCTGGAAGATGCAGAAACAGCTGTGGGGTTGGAGGCAGAGACAAAAGATTTGGAGGCGGCTCCAGTACCTGAGACTGTTACAGAAGCAGTTCCAGTACTTGTGGCAGAGGCAAGCCAGTCGGAAGCCATTTCACAGGCTGAGGCTGTCAGAGAAGCAACTCCAGAACAGGAGTCGGATAAAAGAGATTCAGAAACATCCGATGTGCAACCCGATGTGGCGGCACGAATGAGGGAGACTCTGATGAGGCTTGAGAAAGTCGAAAAAAGCAGCCATAGAAGCAGTGATAAAAAACATGATGCAAAGAAACAAAAAAGGAGTCACTCCAAGTCTCAGTCCAGGTCTAGGAAGCGGAAGAAAAAATCAAGGTCACGTTCTACTTCCAGGCGTTTGACCTCTAAAAGAGCACGTTCTAGGAGCAGAAACTATTCAGATTCCAGAAAAAAACATTCCAAATCTAGATCCCGATCTGTGGAGAAGAGAGAGAGAAGAGTGTCTTCCCGGAGGTCCAGGCGCAGACGTTCCAGGTCGTCTGACCATTACAGGTCTAAATCCAGATCAGCAGAAAAGAGAGGGAGCAGATTGTCCTCTGGGAGGTCCAGACGTAGACGTTCCAGGTCGTCTGACCGGTACAGGTCTAAATCCAGATCAGTGGAAAAGCGACTGTCCTCCCGAAGATCCAGACGTAGACGTTCCAGGTCTTCTGATCGGTACAGGTCTAAGTCCAGGTCAGTGGAAAAGCGACTGTCCTCCCGAAGATCCAGACGTAGACGTTCCAGGTCTTCTGACCGCTACAGGTCTAAGTCCAGGTCAGTGGAAAAGCGACTATCTTCCCGCAGGTCTGGGCGCAGACGTTCCAGGTCTTCTGACCGCTACAGGTCTAAGTCCAGGTCAGTGGAAAAGCGACTATCTTCCCGCAGGTCTGGGCGCAGACGTTCCAGGTCTTCTGACCGCTACAGGTCTAAGTCCAGGTCAGTGGAAAAGCGACTATCTTCCCGCAGGTCTGGGCGCAGACGTTCCAGGTCTTCTGACCGCTACAGGTCTAAATCACGGTCAGTGGAAAAGAGGGGGAGCAGGCTGTCCTCCTGGAGATCCCGCCGCAGACGTTCCAGGTCTTCTGACCGTTCTAAATCAAGATCCAGGTCGTCAGAAAAGAGAGGGGGCAAAGAATATTCATGGAGGTTCAGACATAGAGGGTCTGGTTCCTCTGATCGTTCAAAATCTAGGTCAAGATCTGTAGAGAAGAGAGGTCGAAAGGCGTCTCTGAGGAGGTCTAAACGTCAGCGCTCGAAGTCCTCTGACCGGTACAAGTCTAGATCCAGATCAGTAGAAAAAAGAGATCGAAAGCAGTCATCGCGAAAGTCTAAACGTCAGCGCTCAAAGTCCTCTGACCGTTACAAGTCTAGATCCAAATCAGTGGAAAAAAAGAAGGAGTCCTCACGAAAATCTAAGCGTCGCCGCTCAAAATCTTCTGAACGTTACAAGTCTAGGTCTAGGTCTGTTGAAAAAAAGCGCAAGGAATCTTCAAAAAAGTCCAAACGGAAACGGTCGAAGTCCTCTGATAGTGTTAAGTCAAGGTCGAAGTCTATAGAAAAACGAGAGAGTAAGTTATCCTCATCAAAGTGCAGTAGCAAGCACATGGAGTCCTCTGAGCTTACGGAGTCAACCAAATGCCTTGAAAAAGAGGTTCCTGAACCTCCTGTTGCAAGTGAAGGCAGCTCTAAATCCTCTAATGGTCCCATGTCGGTAGCTTTGTCTGTTGAAGGAGTAAACGGCCCAGAGCTACCGCCAGCATCTGAAAGTGGATTTTCCAAAACTTTTGATAGTCTTGAGAAAAGCTCCTCACCTGTTGAAAAAACAGCAGGTCTGCAGCCTTCTGTGATGTCTGAATTTGATAGCTCCAAAACCCCAGATGACCAGGAATTGAGATCCGTGCCTGTGGAAAAAACAGAGGATTCGGAGCTTTCTGCATCTGAAAATGGATCAGCTGAAAAAGCAGTGGTTCTGGAGTCTTCATCACTACCTGAACTTACATACTCCACACCCAAGTCAAGATCATCATCTGTTGAAAAAAGGGGAGATCCAGAAACTTCTTTGGTAACAGAATTTCAGCTTTCCGCATCCCATGAAGATGAGTCAAGATCTACCTCTCTCAAAGAAACAGAGGGTCCAGAGCCTCTTCTGACACTTGAAAGTGGATGCTCTGTATCTTCTGATGATTACAAGACAATCTCCTCGTCCTCTGGAAATATGGAGGTTCAGGGGTCTTCTCTGATGTCTGAATGTGTACTCTCTGACTTGTCCGATGGTCATGAATTGAGACATACCACCGTTGAAAAACAAGAGCTTCAGAAGTTTTTGCAAGTACCTGAAAGTGAATCTTCCAAGTTGGCTGACAGCCCTGAAACAATAGAGGCTCAAAAATCTTTTCAAGCACCTGAAGTTACATGCTCTGCATTCCCTGATGTCTGTGAATCATCCTCCTTGCCTATTGAAAAGGGCCAAATGCAGGAGCCTTCTCTGGTTTCTGACAGTGGATGCTTCCAGTCCCCTGATGGACATGGATCAGGATCCAGCTTTGCTGCACAAATAGATGAGCTTCCACTGATGTCTGAAGGTGGGTCCTTCAAGTCACCTGATGGAAATGACCAAAGATGTTTATCTGTTGAAAAAGTAAGGGCACCAGCTGTTTCCTTGACATCTGAGTGTGGTCCTGTTGAGATCTCTGGTGACCTCGTAGCAGTGTCATCTTTTGAAAAAATGCAGGAAGTTGCACTGACAACTGTAGTACAAAGCTGCAAGTCTTCTGAAGTTCATGAGTCCAGATCATCTATTAACATAGATTTAGATGGTCCGACACTTTCACAAGTACTTGAAACTGACTGCTCTGAATCTTCTGAAATGCATGAATCGAGATACTTGCCTGCTGGAAAAATAGAGGGTACAGGATCTTTCTTGATGTCTAAAAGTGTAATTCCTGTGTGCCATGATGGCCATAAATCAAAACACAACTACTTTGAGAAAACAGAAGGTGCAACACTGTCATTGGCATCTGAACTTAGGTGTTCTGTCTTCCCTGAAGGCTATAAATTGACACCCACTGCAGCTGAAAAAATGGAGTTACAGAAGCCTTCTCTCCCTCTGGAGAGTGGGTACTCCAAGTCTACTGATGTTTGTGAATCAGTAAGCACACCTACTGAAAAACTACAGGCTGCAGTGACTTCTTTGACATCTGAAGATGGACTTTTGCTGTTGCCTGATAGTCATGAATTGAGACCTATCCCTGCTGAAAAAGTAGAGGTGCAAAAGTGCATTGCATCCCCTGATGGCCACAAGTTGAGATCTGTCTATGATGACGAAATACAGGTGCAGGAGCCGTCTCCGATACTGGAAAGCAGATGTTCTGTTTCCTCTGATGGTCAACAGTTGACATCCACACCTTTTGAAAAAGTTGAGGTAGAGGAGCCTTCTCAAATAACTGAAAATGAATACAGAATAGGGCTTGATGGCCCAGAGTTGACATCAACCCCTGCTGAAAAAACGGAGATGCAGGAACTTTATCGAATGTCTGAAGAAGGGTGTTCAGTGTCCATTCAGAGCCAGGAGTTGCAGTCACTGCCTGTTGAAAAGATAGAAGTGCAAGAGCCTGCTCTGACATATGAAAATGAATATGCTGTATCTTGGGAGGGCCAGGAGTTGAGATCTAGCTCTCCTGAAAAGGTAGAGATGCAGGAGGCTTCTGTAGTACCTGACAATGAATATGCTGTATCTTCTGAAGATCACAAATTGCCGTCTTCTCTTGCTGAGAAAACAGAGGTACAGGAGTGTTCTCTGCCGTCTGAAAATGAATATGCTGTATCTCCTGAACGCCGGGAGATGACAGCCAGCCCTGCTGAAAAAGAGGTGCAGGAGCCTTCTCTGACATCTGACAGTGAATATACCATCCTCCCTGAAGACCAAGGATTACAGTCTACCCTTGCTGAAAAAGCAGTGGTGCAGGAGCCTTCGCTTATGTTAGACAGTCAATATGCTGCATCCCCTGAAGGGCAGGAGTTGCTCCCTCTTCTTAATGAAAAAACAGAGGTGCAGGAGTGTTCTTTGCTGTCTGAAAATGAGTATGATGTATCCCCTGAAGGCCATGATTTGAGATCCAGCCCTGTTGAAAAAGAAGAAATGGAGGAACATTCAGAATCATCTGAAAGTGAAAGTTCGTTGTCCACTGATAGCCAGGAGTTGCAGTCTACTGTTGAAAAAACAGAGGTGCAGGAGTTGTCATTGTCTGAAGGTGAATGTGCCATGTCCCCTGAAGGTCAGGAGCTGCAGTCTAGTCCTACTGAAAAAGTAGAGACTAACGAACTTTCTCTGACATACGAAAATGAACATGCTCTGTCCCTTGAAGAGTATGAATCAAGACTGACTCATGCTGAGAAAACAGAGGATATGGATTCTTCTTTGACGTCTGAAAATGACCATCCTTTGTCTTTTGAGAGCCAGGAGGTAAGATTCACCCATGTTCAAAAAGCAGATATGCGGGAGCTTTCTCCAACACCTGAAAATGAACATGCAGCATCCCCTGATGGCCAGGAGTTGAGATTCTCCGCTGTTGGAAAAGTAGGCGGTTTTGAACCTTTGACGCTAAACGATAGAGCCTCCATGTCCCTTGATGACAGTGACTTGAAATCCGTCCCTGCTGAAAAAATGGATGATGTGATGCCTTCTTTAATGCCTGAAGGTGGGTGCTCCATGTCCCCTGATGGCTACAGTGTGAAATCTGGCCCTGGTGAAGAAACAGGGGATCTAGAGCCCTCTTTGATACGTGAACGTAGACATTCCACATCCTCATATCAGGAAGGTCATGAGCTGAAATCTCCCATGGAGGAAGAGGGTCGAGAGTCCTCTTTGACTTCTGAACATAGACGTTCTGTATCCCCTGAGGGCCATGACCAGAAATCTATAGATGAAGAAATGGATGATCGGGAGCCCTCTTTGACATCTGAACATAGGCGCTCCACATCCCCTGATGAGCATGAGTCAAGATCTAGCATTGGTGAAGAAGCAGAGTATCTGGAGCAGCCTTTGACAACGGAACGTAGATGCTCTGTGTCTTCTGATGAGCATGAGTCAAGGTCTACCACTGGGGAAGAGGTAGAGGATGCAGAACCCTCGTTGACAGCTGAACGAAGAGACTCCATATCTTCTGATGAGCATGGGTCGAGGTCTACCACTGGTGAAGATATGGAAGATGGGGAGCCCTCTTCAACAGCTGAACGTAGACACTCCACGTCCTCTGATGACCGTGAGTCAAGGTCCACAACTGGTGAAGAAATAGAGGAGTTGGAACCTTCTTTGACAGCTGAACATAGACGCTCTGTGTCTTCTGATGGACGTGAGTCAAGGTCAACCACTGGTGAAGAAGCAGAGGACCGGGAGCTCTCTTTGACAGCTGAACGTAGACACTCCACATCCTCAGATGAACATGAGTCGAGGTCTACCACTGGTGAAGATGTGGAGGATATGGAACCCTCCTTGACAGCTGAAAGAAGAGAATCTACATCATCAGATGAACATGAGTCAAGGTCTACCGCGGGTGAAGAAGGAGAAGATATGGAACCCTCTTTGACAACTGAACACAGACGTTCCACGTCACCTGATGGGCGTGAATCAAGGTCTACCACTGGTGAAGAAGTAGATGATGTGGAGCCAGCTGAACAGAGAGACTCCACATCGTCAGATGAGCATGAATCTAGCAGTGGTGAAGAGGGTGAGGATGCGGAACCCTCTTTGGCAGATGAAGATAAACAGGATTCCATGGCTCTTGAGAGATTGGAGGAACAGGACTCTTCCTTTATACCTGAAAGTAGGCGTTCTGAGTCTTCTGAACGTGAAAAATCTAGATCCAAATCTGTTGATAAAATATCTGACAAAGAGTCTTCACGAAGATCTGTAAGCAGAGGCTCAAAATCTTCTACTCGCCAAAAGAGTCGATCCACATCTGTTGAAAAAGCAGCAGACAAAGAGTCTTCACGGAGATCTAGACATAGACGTTCCAGGTCTACTGCTCACCAGAAGAGTAGATCTACATCTGTTGAAAAAACAGCAGACAAAGAATCTGCACGGAGGTCTAGACGTAGACGCTCCAGGTCTGCTGCTCGCCAAAGGAGTCAATCAACATCTGTTGAAAAAGCAGCAGACAAAGAGTCTTCACGGAGGTCTAGACGTAGACGCTCCAGGTCCACCGCTCGCCAAAGGAGTCGATCCAAATCTGTTGAAAAAACAGCAGACAAAGAATCTTCACGGAGGTCTAGAAGCAGACGCTCCAGGTCTTCTCAGCGCAGATCCCAGAGATACGATACAGAATCTCGCTCTAGACGGAATCGCTCCAGATCAGTAACGCGGAGAAGAGCATCAAGGTCAAAATCTAATCGTCGCTCTCGGTCTAGCTCGTTGTCACGTTCAAGGCACAGAAGGAGGAGTAGGTCAAGGTCAGCATCAAGAAGGCGGCGTTCTTTATCAAGAGACAGGCGTAAGAGATCTCAGAGAAATAGGTCAAGATCCACTGACAGACGAAGAAGAAGATCAGATTCAAGAGATCGTAGGATATCACTCAGATTACGGAGCAGAAGTCGAACACCTATTCGTCAAAGGCGATCAAGGTCAAGAGGAAGAAGACGGAGCTCTAGTAGGTCACCAATTCGACTACGGCGATCAAGATCTTCCGGGAGACGAAGATACAGTAGATCCCCTGATCGTCGTAGGTCGAGGTCATCGGAACGATTTTCAAGCAGGTCACCTAAACGTCTTACAGACTTGGGTGAGTGATAATTTTATTTTCAGTAGTTCCATGGTTAGGTGATATTGTGTTCATTTACGTAGTCTTATTTTAACATATCTCTGTAGCATTCATAAGGAATTTCTTGGAAGTCGTGCATTACTTTTAGGCTGTGACTTCCAGTAGGAACTTTTATGTTGAAGCTAAATCAATGCTTACCATCAGAGCTTTTATACAAAGGTAGTATGTTGCAGTCTTGAGGAACACTGTTCACTGCAATGATTAGTAAAAGCCAAGTATTCTATAAGAAACGTAGGAATTTCTGGTTTTCCTGAGAACAAATTGGGCATGAAAGAATATTTGCAAGTAAGAATTCTTAGCTCTGTCGTCAGCTGTAATGCTTGTTTATCTGTTTCCATGACCCTGTCTTGCCTCTTTCCCATGGTAGGAATTTAATGGGAAGGGAGACTTGTTTCTGAAAATATTCCCAGACCCAGCTGATTGCAAAAATAAAAGAAAAAAATCTGAATAAACTACATCTTTTCTCTGTGGCTGGAGGAAGAGAGGCCTTGTAGTTTCCTTAGGTAGTAAGTTACATAAGGAGAAAGGAGGTTTTAATTTTGAGAGACGAGCTCTTGTACAATATGTGAGGAAGCCTCATTTGTGGACGTCAGGTTCTGATCCTTTTAGTCCTAGATCATGAAGTTACCATGGGAGCCCCTCAACTAGTGAAGTATTTTTATACAGAATGTGACAATTAATGAGTGTCCTGGAATCGGCTTTCATGCTTTGATTATGCAGCAAGTCTTTATCTATATACTTTCATTGCTTAAGAAGTAAAGGAATGTCCTTTTAGGATTTTTGTAAAGCTATATGCTTGCAGAGATAATGGTAACTCTTTTATTTGCAAACTGGCAAATCAAATAAAATGTACTTTATTTTCATTCCCTATTTCTGTGATAGGGCCACATGTGTTTTTTTCCATAATAAAGCAAATACTGTTTTATTAACAGTTTTGCTTCTAATTATATTTTAGCAAGCGCACATTTTATCCAGTGCTTATATTTGTCTGTTGGTTAGTTGTAAGTAGCTTTCAGGCTATGCACTAGGGGATTTCCTCAAGACCTTTGAATGCTTTTCAGAGATAGCTAGAAGTAGACTTCAGAAATTATGCTGTGTAGAAATGACCTAGTATTTCCAATACTAGAATCAATCAGTGAAGTAAAATAGGCATCAGAACTTCTGGGGTTTGGAGGATTTTGAGTGCTGTGATTTGGACTCCTGTGCTTTGTGTTGAATTTGCAGTTTCACTTGTCTGTTGGGTACACCAAATTAAAAAAAGTCCAGAGCAACTGAGTACAATTGTAGTTATTTATAGAGAACATAAAAATGCACGGTGTGGGTAAAATCTTGTGTTTTGTCCTTGTACTTTGTTTAGTCTGCCAGAAATACTTGTTTATTATTAAATAATAGTAATAATAATAATAATTTTTCTTTAAAAAAATAAAAATTTTTAGACAAGGCCCAGCTACTTGAAATAGCCAAAGCTAATGCAGCCGCCATGTGTGCTAAGTCTGGTGTTCCTTTACCACCAAGCCTGATGCCTTTGTTATCTCAAAAGAAAGACGACAAAGCCAATCAGAAGTCATCAAGAGATACTCTAAAGGAGCTCACTGAGGTAAGTGAGAATAACAGTATTAAACCTGAAAATAAGCAAATTGGGTTTTTTGTGACTACTAGGCAAGCCGTCATTCTGTGTGCTTGGTTTGCATGTAAGCTGGCTTGTGATTTTAGCCCTTATTCTCTACACAGTTTTTTTTAAGTCATGAAAACAAATGGTTTAATTCTGTTGAAATACATAAAATCCAATTCTTCTGCTTTTTTTTTCGGTTTTGATTCTGTTCTAATTTTATACGAATTGGTAGCTTTCCTTGCAGTCCTGTTGATAAAAACCAAAGCTTTCACTTTTAGTTTTTGATTGTTGTGGTTTTAGATATTAATGTTCTTTCTTTTGTTAGTGAATTTCACATTGTTAAATGTGATTTCTGGGTTACAAATCCAGTGCCCACTTCTCATAGTTCTATATATTTTAGTATGCACTCTACGACAATTTGAGAGAATTCTTGTTGCAGTTCTATCCCATTGTAGTTCAAGTCTATGAATGCAATATTTTTGTTCTGATTGTGGGGAAAAAAATTGCTACTTGTCTTTTTACTGTAGTAATGTCACCTTTTTCAAGTTGCTGATTTCCCTCTATGCTATTTTCCCCAGAAGCTAGAGAAAATTTGGAATGGGGGGAAAAGAAAGTGCTTTTGGGTTGGTTTGTAGTTGTTGGGTTTTTTGTTTGTTTGGTTGTTTTTTTTAAATTGCATCATTGGTGTGACAGTTCTGAAATACCTGTTTATGGAAATAACATCTGAAATTAAGCAATGTCAAATTGCTGAAAAGTAATCTCTTAGTTGTGCGTGGGCTAGTGGAAGCAGAAGTACTTGTTAGTAAAGAAGCTGAGATTGTGCAGATATGCTGTGCAGACATCTTAAGTGGTTCTTCATGTAACCTGACCAAGATCCAGTGTAGCTATTGCTAATCTGGAAGCCCAAAACCTGCCCCTTCTGTGCCCTTTCTGACTGTGGGAATCTGTTTGACGATGTTCCTATTCTCTTGAATCAGAATTGACCACAGAAGCAGTCCACGCCATCATCATACGGTAGTGTGCACAAGTGGAGAACCCTTCCAGAGCCTGTTCAGCTTCTTGCAAAGCTAGCTGTATTGTCTTTCCTCTCTGCAATGTAACCTGCAAACTGGACAAACTGCTTCCAATTAGTTGGGAGCCAACAAATTAATATAGATAATACATTTTGTTGATTAGCTTTCCAAATAGCGCAGGCTTTTCCTGTTGCCAAAAGAATGTGCTTCAGTCATTGTTTGGAGGCATCTTAGCACAGGAGAGTCCAGAAATCTTTTTTTTATAAGGACTGATGAGAACAGTACCATCAATGTGTCTTGATTTTTAGTGATGGAGCTGCCTGTTCGCTCCTTATATGCTAACAATCAGGTCATCAAACAGATGTGACTTAACCATGGTATGAACTTGAACTAGAGTCAAATCAGATGATGGCTTCACTTTCCTGGTATTATTTCCTCAAATATTATGTCTTCAAGTGACTTAAGTATAGTTTTAATGAATGGGGACATAATAGAAGCATGCTACTAGACTATAATGTTCTCAAATGCATTTTGGACTAAGTTATAGTTCCTACTAGTAAACACTCAGTGCGGATAACCATGATCAGTAAACAGTTTTTCATCATAAAATTCTAGCCTCTCTAGAATGGGTCCCTACTCTACCAGTGGGAATTAGAATTAGTAAATACTAATTCTTAGGTTTTCCTGTGTAGTACTTCTGTGAGTTATATTGAAGTTTCTGTCAGACTGCAATATGCTAGTTCTGTGGGACGCCAAACAACCAGTGAGTTCCTACTCTGGAATGTTTGCAGCCTTAGACGCACATTCTACAACTAGCACCATTTACCAAGTTTTACAGTGTACTGCTGAAATCTTATGTCCGTGAAATTATTCGCTGCCTGAGTGCCTAGCAAACCTAGGTAGGTGTTTGATAATGTGTGTAAAATGTCAAAAGTACACATATTGATGATATTGCTAAAAGACTTTCCCAGTTTATACATCCTGCTTTGGGAAAGAAAAACACCTTTTTGTAAAAATGTTCTTTTGTTTGTTTTGGTTGAAAGTCCGGGCTTATTCAGAGCTGTCATGTCCCCCTTATTTGTTTTTCTTTTTAGAAATGCAAGAAGATTGCTCAAAGCACAGATGATGTAATAGTGAACAAACCTCATGTTTCTGATGAAGAGGAAGAAGAACGTCCTTTCTATAATCATCCTTTTAAGCTCAGTGAACCCAAACCTATTTTTTTCAATTTAAGTGTGAGTACTTCTTTAATTTTCAATATTTTAAATTGTGGTTATTTTAAAATAGTGCAAGTAATTTTACAGAAATTAAGCAGGGTTTGATAATCTTGGTGAAATTGCACTGGGATGTTGTTAAAAGTACTCTTGCTACAATAAAAAACTGACCTGCAGTCTATGGAATTGTGGTAGTGCCCATAATTGGATTGAAACTGGTTTTGGGTTTTTTTTTTGTTAATGCCTTTGCAGTTTTTAAAGCTTAACTAACATAAAGAGGATTGGTTTTACTTCACATTTTCATTGCAGAAATGTCAGTATGTATTTGCAAACAGCGTTGGAATTGGAAAATACTTTTGGAATGGCATTATTTCTCTTAAAACCACAAACAGAAAAGCCCCAGCAAAATTCTAAAAGCATCTTGAGGTGTTCTAAATAAGATGATGCCATCAGCTTTGTGTGGACTCCAAATCTTGTATGATTGCTTCTTCAGTAGATCTCAAGTATTCACTGAGGCAGAAAAACCTTATGTTAGTTTTGAGATTAGACAATAGAGAAGTAAATGCTTGTTAAGAACGAGGATCACTGATGTTGCCTGTTACTCAGAGCGTCTAAATGTCCCGTGAAACCCCCTCTTTGGGGGAACTGCTTTTGACTCTGTGGGAGCTTGTGTTGACCCTTTCTGCGTATGAGCATGGTGGAAAGAATACAGTGAGGAAGCGTTTCTTTAAATGCAGCTGGGATTCGTATGCTTTGAAGTGTGGATTAGTTTCTGGGTTTGGTGGTTGTTTTTTTTTACTGTTACATCTTTGGGGTTTTTTTGTGCCCATGAAATTCTGCTCTGATTTTGCAGGGTATAAAGTTCTATAAAAGTATTAATATGCTAAGTGAAAATACAAATAGCATTTATATTTTTATGTACAAATACGTACATGTAGCTTGTGGCATACACAAAATAAGCAGTAATACGTATTTGCAAAAGATAAAGATTTAGACTTTACATTGTACCATTAGAAAGTGGTACGACGAAACTGAAGAAACCTTGGGATTCTTACAGGCTCCAAAGCAGAATGTTCTTTAGTGGTTATGGGCCGCTTTGCATGTTTTCCACAGTTTTGGCCCTTTTAGTATCATTCTTTCCATTCTGTCTGGATTCTAGTCTTACTACCATTTTCCATCCATGTTCCTTTGATAGTAGGAGTTTATCCAACATTGTGAGCTGTCTGAGCTCTGTTTGCCTCTTAGAAGAGCAACCTGTAGAAGAGATTTCTGCAGACTCCTAATATGTTAGCAATACTTTCTAAGGAAAACAAGCTCATCGACTTAATTTACTTTGAGATTCATGCTGCTGTTAAAAAATAATCAAAAACTAGAAAACAAAATGTTGAAAACTGCCTTCTTTATGTATAGTAATGTAGAGCTGTTTATCATCATGTGGATATCACAGTGAATGTTTTTTTGCCACCCAGGATTTTTATTTTGGAGCTTTCCATTACAAAATGCATGTGTGGAAGATTTAAGATTGTTCTTTTTATGATGGGGTGGAGAGAAAGCAGGAGGTTAATTGTGAGAGTGAGGTTTTGCATATTTTTGGCTGCTGAAGGTGATTTATGTGATTTTAGCTTCTAGCTGTTTCATCTTCTCATGTTACAGTTTGTTGTTCACTTGTGTGTTTTTAGAGCTGTGCTAAAATTATTTGTTACAAAGGCTTTCAGTTTGATGTTGGTAAGAAGGATGACTGTTTTATGAAAACTTAATACCAAGTGTATGCAATAAATTGTTTCTCAAAGACTTGTTGTGAGTATTGTGTGTTTTCAATTTTTAACTTTTTCTAATTTTATTTCTTTAAGACTCCCAGCATAAAACCAGCACCACCACCACAACCAAAAAATCAGGTCAGCTTGTCAAAGGAATTTCCTGTTTCATCTGGGTCTCAACATAGAAAAAAAGAGGCAGATAGTGTCTATGGAGAATGGGTTCCAGTTGAAAAAGGCAAAGAAGACAGCAAGGATGATGTTTTCCCCAAACCATCCATTGAGGTAAGGAAGGGAAGGAAAGCATATCATATAAGAAAACCAAAACCGTTACCTACTCAGTCTGATATCAAATTGCAGTCTGTGAAAAAAAAACGCTTACAGAGGTAGTATCTAACACTGTAATAAGCGAATTCTCTGAACTGCTGTGGTCTTCAAATTTGGTTGCCGTGTTCATGTGGGCAATGACAAAAGCAACCTGTACTCATACTGTGTGCTTTTGTCAACTAGTGACTTCTTTGTCTCAATGGAATTTAAATTTTTGCTTGAAGATGAAAAGCAAGTTTCTTGTCCAGTTTCCTGCAGAGGTTAATACCTTAAGTTGAGACTTTCATGATAATGAATTGAATAATAATTAAAATTGTCCTACCAGTCTTGGAGCAATAACATTGCATTTGAAATGTAATCCATTAAAAATAGATTTGAAAGTAGTTTCTCAAACTACCACTTCATCTGGATGTATCTAATCTAGCTTTACAGTCACATTTTCTCACATGTTGTCTTCCATGGGGCCTTCCAAAGGAAAATCTAATTGTATGTAGAATACACTAAAAAACAAACAAACAAACAACCCGCAAATGTTTTTCCCCTTGAAATGTCTTCAAAAGGATATTTTGTGGGTTTTTTGTAATTAAGTAAATTAAATATTTAAAACAGATGTTAATTTTTTCAAATGGCTGTTACCTCACTCCATCTAAAGATTTGTTCTCATACCTTTCAAAGCAAATAAACAAAAAAGCCTTGGCATCAATGTCTGATGAAACAATCTTTCCACTTGGTGCTTTTTGTTTTTCAAGAACTTTAGGATTGTACAGTTCACTTCCTGAAGCGCAGAAGGTATTTTCTTCTGTGTCTTACAGCACCAAAGCACAATGAATATAACTCGTTCAACAGACATTTTCATGGCATACCTCAGAGTTTGACGGTCAGGTACCCAGGTCATTGTTCCCTCAGTGTAGATGGTAACTGCTGTTTGGTCTTTGTCATGAACCACTAATAAGACAAACATTCTGAAATGTTTGTGCAGAATGTCATTCCCAGTTAATCGTGTATATGTAAAAATTCCAGAGCGTAGAAACACTGTATACTAACATTTGGCTGTGTTTTTACCAGGTGGTAAAAAGTCTTGTCCTTCAAATGGTTAACGATATGCTCATAGTTCAGGCGAGCTCTGTAGCTGTGTGCATCTAGGTTGCCAACGACGCTAGACTTGTGTCTTTGACACGTTAGCTAAGCACTGATGGTTTGTGTATTATGTAGAAAAGGCCTTATAAATTGACATTGGAGTAAATATATTAAAAATAACTTTCTTTCCTTTCTGTCACGTGTATCTTTATAAATGCTTGTAACAATGTTGTCTGTTTTTATATTTTGTAAATAAATATTTTTATTTGCATTTACCTTAACTTGGTTTGTGTTAAGGGTGATTTCAAGGGTCATTAGCTGACAGCAGAGCATACCATCCCCTTGGGTTTGTCAGTGCTTAATTTTGAAATACAGGAATACTCTTCTAGTAGCAGAATCCATGTATGTTTCTCCAGGGAGTCTGAAAGGTAACAGAGTATTTCTCTGCTTAATTTTTTAAATGCTTATGAGGACTCTTTGTGGATTTTGCTTCCTTGGAGCAAAAGAAACCAGATAAGCTCCCTTGCTGTTGGACTAGGATAGTGGGGGAGTGTGCTTGGGTCCTCAGGAATTTTGACTTATAATTTACCTCCAGTCATTGTTGTTAATTTTGAAATCTGATTGTGACAATTCTGATGCAAGTCTATATTTACATTAAAAAAATACGTAATTGGTTTTATTGTTATGTTTTTATTCAAGTCACAGAATTAGTTACGGGAGTAAGCAGTCTGAAATGGCCCTGCTAATATATTACGAATTGTTATAATAAAACATTATGATCTTAATATAGTTGTTTGTGGTAGTAGGGAGATGGAGGGAGAAGTCTTGAGTAACCTGAAGTATCAGCATGTCGCTAGAAGCCAGAGAAGCCTGTGAGAAAGAAGCTGTATTTGAAAGCCTGAAAGTATAGAGTTGAAGTGTTGTATTTAAGTTTGGAGTATGCACAGGTGACTATCATGCAGAGAAGCCGTCGTGATCTAAAAATGTAGTAAATGCATTTAGTGTATCAGTGGACCTACAGAGTATGTCAAAAATGCCTGCTTTTTATCGTCAGCCTCTTCCTTCTTGCTTCCATATTTGTGATTTGTGTCTGTGGGGGAAGATGTTATTAGAAGTCAGGATTGGAAAGGCAGAACTCTTAATGGAGAATAGCATGCTGAACTTGAAACTGTTTTACTTGACTAAATAATAACAACTTTTCATACTTCAAGCAGAGATCTTTTTTTTTTTCAAGATCCAAAGCTGCCATCGAGTGTCTTGACATAATACAAAGCCATGATGGTCTCCAAAATGGTGACTGGCCATGTGGGGAAAGTGTATGGGAATTCTAACTAACCAGGGTATCTACTAATAGGCCCCAGTCCGGTAAAGCACTTAAGTACACATGTGTGTTTAAGTATGTGAGTGGTCCCAATGTGGTTTCAGTGGACTACTTGCATGCCTATGTGTATTGCTGGATTGAAGCTTTTGGTGAGTAGAATAACTTTTATTTATCTCCTGAACCAGTTTCACGCTATATAAGGGGAGCTTATTAACACCAGAAAGCTTATATTTTAAACAAGCAGTCCGTTACATATGTGACTCTCACATTAGGTGATTGTTAGAAAATATTTTAATTTTTCTTGTTTATGCTTTGTGGTGTCAGCTGGGATAATAAACAAACACTGAAGTCAGTTTCATAGACACATAGGACTTCTGGGTTTTTAAGTCTGTCTTCGTCAGTGCCAGATGTTTCACTAATGATTTTCCTTAAGGAAATACTATTTGTCCTACACAGTTAAAAAAAAAAAAAAAAAAAAAAAAAAAAAAAGAAAGATTAAAAAAAAATCCCCTGTCTTAAAATAAGATTTAATGGCCAGAGTACAAAAGTAATTACACCGTTTTATGCAATTGTAGACATTTGTGTCTCTTACTGGTTTTCAGTATTAACTGAATTCTTGGCCTGGTTCCTGTGACAGGGATTTTGTGTATTAACTATATTTTTCTGTTCAGCAGATTCAATTTTAAATTCTATTTCTTCTATTGGCCCTTTATTCTAGTATAGTATGAGAGAGGCTAAGGTTATTGAGATAGTGACTAGCAAAAGATACAAGTCTTTTGTAAAACAAATTTTAACAAAATAATTAAACATCACTTACTTTATGTCTGTAGGCCACCTGGTGTTTTGATTATAGGGTTTCTTCTGTGCTTCAAACACTTCCAGCCCTTTCCGTCTCCTTCACATGCTCACATCTCCGAAGGAAATTCACTTGTTTCTGAGTTCTTTTCTGAAGAAAATTTCTTTTTCTGAATTCTTTTACTCCTTTCAAAATAGAATGATCCATAAAATGTACATCATCTGAAGAACAAGGCACAAGTAATTTTACAAAAGAGCTGTATACTACCCATAATTTGTTACATCTTTAAATCCGCAAATGTTTTGGATTTCTCTCTTGATTGCATTGCTCAGAGAGTAGAGGTTTGCATTGAGCTTCTACATTTGTTCCGTATTTTTACTCATCAGTATGTGTAAGATAGTTTCAAATTTATTTTTCTTTAAATTTTATTGTAGTTTGGCAGCACAGATCTAAATAATCCTTTCCACAACGGTCAACTTTATGAGCTACCAGTCTGGTTTTACTTTTATGCAAGTCTGGTTTAGGCTGAAGATTAAGATTTAAAACACTAAAGCCAATTTCATGGAATACCTGGGATTCTTGCTGAAAATTTTTATACATTTAACTTGAAGTTTGAATGTGACTTAATAGTAGGGTGCTCATGTGAACAGCTCTGTATGAAGGCTTTTTTTTTTTTTAATTCTTGGCTAAACTACATCTAATTCTGTTGGCTAATAAGATTCCGTTGAACAATAATATGCTTCTCTATTTATTATACACCAGAACTTTTTATGACCAAAATAGTTCTCTGAAAATAACTTTTTTGATATTTTGTATGTATAGATGATACTAAATTATCAGGGTATTATAAGTTAACTTCAGATTTTGTATGTGTTCAGGAAAGTCCATATTGTATATACTTAACAAGTAGTCCCAGGATTTTTTTCATGTTGCCTATTTATATACTATTCAGCGTGTGAAGCAACTTTATAGTATTCGTAGTATATTTTATTTATTCTACAACAGCTTTTTCCACATCAAATGGATATTATTGTGGTCTGATGTATTTTTAAAAATATTATTTTTCTTCCTAGGGTGTGGATATAACTACAGCTATGAATGATCGAGCAGTGGCTCAGAAAAGGCTTAATGAGAACACATTTGATTTAGAGGCCATGTGCATGTTAAATCGTGCACAGGAACAGGTATGTTGCACTTTTTCATCAGCATTTTGATGAACTTAAAGTAAATGTTTATCCTTTGTACCAGCTGATTTTTCCTTATGTATTTAAGTACAGGTTTTTGGAAGCCTGGTTTATGAGCTCATGTTTAAAAATTCTGCCTTTAATTTGCACTTCATAACACTGATTTTGAGGATAAGCAAACCGTGAACTGTGAACTTGCTACACTGAGCTCAGGTTTTAGGGTTAACATACAGAGATGCTCAGCTTTTTGGAGCGTTTGCTTATAAATTAATGTTAATGAACACAGCATTAAACATAAGGGAAGAATTGTTATGAAAATTATTGAGAAGCAACAGAGAATTGCATAGGAAAAATGCGCAAATTTGTATTTTGGTCTTACATTTGATTTTTATTTTGCAGATTGACGCCTGGGCTCAGTCAAACTCCATACCTGGCCAGTTCACAGGAAGTACTGGAGCACAGATACTGTCCTCAGATGAGCTGACCAACAGTGGTCCCCAAGCATGGATTAGAAAGGTAGAAGTTATGCACATGTACTTGTCTAACTATCACATTTTAAATAGCGATGGAAGTATTGGAAAATGCAAAAAATGTGCCTTAAAAATCTATGGTAATGCATGTGTCACATACAACAGGTTGAGTTAAATTGTTGTCTTTGATCAATTTAGATACCTGCTGCTGCTGTGTCCATTTTGTTGTGCATTAAGGTGTTGTTCATGACATAGAGTACTTCAATAAGGTGTGCGTCTGGTATTTGAGTCAGATTGGTTCATACATACTGTTTCCTTACACTGAAATGCCATTCATGATACTGGTATGGTTGCAGTGGTAGGTCCATCACTACTTTTACAGGTTTGGGACAAATCAGGCAAGGTTTGATCCTGATGTTATTGAAGTGATGTTTTGGCATCAACTTCAGTGAAACGAGTCCCAAACAGCAATTTTTTTGACTTAGTTCTATCTGATTGCTACTTTGCCTCTATTTGTATCACTAGTGTTTTCTGGGAGCCAAAGATTTGGAGTATTAAACCAGGAGTTGCAGTTGGATTAATAAGTTTAATGTCATCCTACAGTGAAATAGTTACCTCTTACTGGAGAGTAATACTGGATTATTTTGGGGGTGTGGTGCGTCATACATACACGTGTTTTATAAGTTTAATAATTCATGCTTCATCTTTGAAAATGAATACTGAACTCTTTCAAGAAGTAGAACTGAGGAATTCAAGCAATATCACCTTTCAGGCAAAAAGAAGAACGAGTTATGGTGGTCAGTCTTGCAAGTAATGTAGTTGAGTATACGCTGTGTCTGCTTATCCTTCCAGAATGCAGTGTTAAGACAACCCTCAAAGCTGATAGGTTAGATTTGCTAAAATTTTCCGTAAAACTTGGTATATACTGAGCACCAAAGTCAAAGAATTATAACATCCTAAAATTAGAAATATTTTTGCCAAGATTCACTAACTTGTTTTTTCACTTTATATAGCCAAGCAATACAGAGAGCCAGGCAACACAGAGTTCCAAGTTAATTGTTAGGTGTGAATCTTCTGGACTCTTCTCAGTATTAATACAGAGCGTAGATGACAAAGTCGTATTTTAACAATTATTAACTTTTGAGATTGTAACAAAATGTTTGGTTTGATGATTACAATAGTTGTCCCTGGCAGAGGAACTTAGAAATATAAAGCACTCAGGAGGGATGTATTGGTGAGAAAAAAGAGAGCTTTTCCACCACAAGGCTTGTGAAAGAGATCAGCAAGCCTAGGAGAAGGTTCTCCATTTCTGCACCTTGAGTGGATTCCCAAGGCAACAGAAAGGGAGCATCTCTGATCATCTCTTTCCCAAGCCTCCTCTTCTCAGCCCGTTTTCATTCCTTGAGGTTCTGTGTCTCACAGTGCCTTATAGTGACAGGAGCATCCAGTAACAAAAGTTAAGCGGAGAAGGCAAGTCTGTTTTCCCTCGGTCTTTTAACTTCACTTTGTGTTCTGCTTAAAAAAAAAAAAAAAAGCAACTACCAAACTGAACAACAAAACATTTTATAGGGAGAAAATGAGAGAAGAGATTGGTCTCTGACTTGTGAATATGACTGCTGTGAGGAGTAGCTGCACATTGGAACATTTTGTTGAATCTAGAAATCAGACGAGGAGGCAGAAGTACTTCTGTCCTTCTCATAGCTGTAAAAATGTAGTGGTTTGCAGTAGTAGGCGTCCTCCCTAGCAAGCATCATGAGGTTTGTCGGAAAGGAGGCTGCTACTGGAAACAAGAAGAGTTGTTGGGTGAAGAAGATGAGGACACAGTCCTCTTTCCTGCTCTGGCATTCCTCAGCTTGACTTCTTTTGCTCTTTCCAGGTTCCATATTCGCACACACATTGCCATCAAACTCATGAGGTGACAAGTAGTTACAATCATGCGCCCCCTACAGAATGCATTAGGGGCAACACAAGACTTGCCCTGTTCTTTTTTAGGGATGGTGGGGCCTGTGAAAACCTTCACAAAACTTAGAGCTGGTGAACTTGATGTGGAGTCACATCCTGTGGATAGAGAATGACTCCACAGGAAAAAAAAAAGTGAAGTAGGGATAATGGGTTATGAATGCATGTTATCTTTCTCAGTGACATGAATGCAAACCAACCATGAAATGCAAAGTACAGGTTGTATTTTACTTAGGCGCTTGAAGTTGTGTAATTTAGTTCCTGTTAATTATGCAACGTAGCACTGAGAAGTCAGACTTGTACTTCCCTTTTCTGTACTAAGAAAATGTATTTTAACATAAAAAAACCCCTAGTACTTGTAAATTTTTTATCTGCTAGTAGGGCTGTGGAGTTTCTTGGGGTATGCTGTGTGTGTAAATTAATACACGTTTCTGACTGAAGATGTTGTTTACTGAAGGCATTTTGCTTGGGAGATTGCCATAAGCAATTGCCATAGGAGGACTCGTGGACGTGCACTGTTCATGTGCCCATGTCAGCTAGTTATTTGTGTATCGTTAAACAAAGAATTAGAACACGTACAGACATTGTGCTTTGAGAGAGATCATGACAAAACTAGATAGATATAACAAAACAGAAGATTGGTGTCAGGAGGGGAGAAGAATTAAAAGTACCTGGGGAACTTGTTTGATAAGCTCTGCTTCACTTTGCATTTCCTGGATTTCAGCTTTTTTTTGTGCTTTAAAAAGATTCTGGAGAGGTAATATGTACTCAAACCAAAATATGCCTGCAATTTCAATTTTATCTCAATAAAGTTTTGAGGGAATTAGTTACTGACATGGTTAACGTTGGCATACTTGAATGATGGACATACCATTTAGAAGTATGGTTTATTTTTCTCAGTAATGTGCTTATTTGTGATGTTCATGCGTAGGGCTCTGAGCAGTATTCATAAAGGATTCATATGTTAGGTTTCTTGTATCATTAAAACAGATTTATGAAAGATATTATCTTTTTCTTTTGAAAAGTGGTTTCTGTTTCAGTTTATCATTGGTGTAATCAGTTCACAAATATGACTTACTTGTTCTGGATGTTGCTGCTTTTTTTTATTTTTCTTCTTCCCTTTTTGCTTACAAATACACTGTGCTGCTGAATATCAAGGAAGCAGTCAAATTCTTTTTTCCAAGCAAATTCTGTTGAGGTCTACTTACTCAGACTTTCCCAGACTCACCACTTGTTTCTGGATTTGTCAGCTTAATGCTATAGCCTGAACTCGATCTCCAAAACAAGATTTTTGCAACATTTTACGTGCACAGGGTAATGCTTGGCATCTCTTTCATTCGGTTGTGCTAAAGCATGACTGACGTGCAGTTTTACTATAGCTGTTCGAGTGCTCTGCTTTGTGTAGCAAGTTCTGAAAAGTCAAAGCGTTCCTTCCATTCTTCCACCGTCCTAGCAGATGACTAAAATTCTAACGATGGAGAAAACTTAAGTCTTGTGACTGTCACTTGCAGAAGAACTGCTGACCTTCTAACAAGGCCACTTATCAAAATACTTGTATTCCTATTGCCTTATATGACACAATGAGCTTTCCTTGGAAATGAAGGCCACAGGGCAAGGCAAATCAACAACTGTAGGTTAGTTACATTGTACTGACTCCCTGTTCAGTCCTCAAATGTGTTTTTTTTTCCCAGCTATCCTCAGCTTGCTTTCTGCTGATTGTATACTAAAGCTGTGAACAGAAATCCTGAAGCTGATTGTGAGCATAGTTTTTGTAAGGCATTTGATGGGATTCTTCAGAAAGGTATTCTTCCTGTTGTATTGAGGAAGGAACGTGGCTGCTAGTAAAAGTGCCAGTTTATTTAATGGAAAATTCAGGTACTTTGCAAAAATTTTGCCAAAGATAGATGCTTCTTCCTGGTACTTGACTCAGAAGTTCTTCAGAGTTAGTCTTAAAGTAATCTTTAAGACAGCCCATTTTGCTATAACTGAAACTGTCCACCTAGTGCCTTTAAGGCTTTGTTGTCTTTTGCTTAATAAATTACTGCTCAAAAAAAATAAATCTTCCTTATGACGGAACTTATGCTTTAGTGCCATGTCAGCATTGTAAGAAGGAATGGGTATTTTCTTTTGAGAGAGCAGAAAATGTTGATGTGTTTTAAGGTCTCTCAAATAATTATGGCTTTAATATTTTGGATGTTGTGGGTGCTGTTTTATAGATGGTTCAGTTCAATGCTGTACGCTATCCTTTTCCCAAAGACAGCTGTTGCAGTTCAACGATGGTGACTGTTGAACTTGTGTTTCAGAAAAAAAAAAAGGTAAAATCATCTTTCAGGTGTGATTGCTTGTTTAAGCCCTTGAATGCTAATTGAGGCATTCGTGTCCCCCAAAATTTGTTGCCCTAACATCACTTTAAAAGAGGAAGATTTTTAATTAAAATTACTAAAAAATGCTCTTAAGTGATCAGGTTTTACTTCGTAGCCTTCTTTTTTAAAGAAAAAGTCTTGACACAAGAATGTGGCTTATTAGTTGTCTCCATCTGCTGGCAGAATGGAAGCATGCTTTATTTGGCTGACCTTTAATGGAACTTAGAGATCAAAAGATGAGAAAAATGGTATTAAATTTTCATGCAGGCTTACTCGAATTGAGATTAGTGCATGAAAGAGAGCAATTGTTTTGTAAATAATTAGTTAATTCCAACAACAGTAACCAAATACTTAGAAACCTGGGCATTTATTGTGTTACATACTCTTTAGCTAGGTATCCTCCTTGTGGGCCAGATCTGCAAGGGTACAGAGCTGCAAAATAATTTTGTGAGACTTGGCCTTGTATGATTTTTAAAACTGAAAAGAAATGTGTCTCTTGCTTCCCTGCTGTTGTTAAGGTTTGTACGATTTTTATGTTTTCAAAGGTACTTACAAACACAGTACTAGTTTTTTACCCATATTCTATTAAGTCATGGGCTGAGTGAAGGTAGTTAGAGAATATAATTGTACAGGCGACATTAGATATCTATATTCAGTTCACTAAAAAAAAAAAAAAAAAAAAACCAAAAAAACTGAAAGAAGAACTTTTTTTCTCTGCTGCAGGCTTCTTCAGTAAACTGAATCAAAGTAGGCTTCTCCTGGCTCCTTTCATATTGGTACCAGAATTACTTAATTTAGCCTTTTAGTGTGATGCACAAGTACAGCTATTCTGTAATGAAACAAAACTGTAATTTCTAATTCCTTGTTGTCTTGGTTCTGTTGTACATGTTTAAGAGTCAGCATAGTGTAAAAATTTCCTACTTAAAGTTACCAGATAGGATTCTGAATTCAGACATCAGAAGAGGTGTTTTTAATAAACTGCACTTTGGAATTTAGAACTCCATTTCCAGTATTTGGAATTTGTTGAGGCTCTGGAAATTCCTCTATAGGAACTGAGGGCTTTGATTTTTAGCGACAAATAGCAATATTTTGATTCTGTTCTCTTCTTTCTACACCACTCCTAACCCCTGAAGGAGTACGTTTACAGGTGTGATGAGAAAGCTGTGTAACATTAAAATGACCTCATCAAGAAATTGCACTCTATCATTTGTGAACTGAATACACGCTGGTGATAATGAAACAGATGTTTATATTGAAAATTCTATCATTGCAAAGCAGGTACAAAAGAGGAATCGGAACCCAGGGTGACATTGACTGGGGTTTGTATCATTCTCGGCATGGTTGCCCTTTTCTTATGAGAGGTTCCTGGAAAAAAGAGGGGAGGATGAAAATGGAAGTAAGTAAAAGCCATTCTAGGTGTATAGATTGAGGCAGTTCGTATCAAAGAAACTGATTGTCTCTGTGTACACACACACACTGCATGGTCTGCACCAGTCAGAAAAAAAAGTTGAACCGCAGAGGTGCACTTAGCCTCTCTACTCTTCCATCAGAGCACTTTGTTATTAAATGCAGCATTCAGTTGCATGATTGATAGGTGTTTACTGTTCAATAGGGAAATATTTGGAGAAGTCCTGCCACAATCTTCAGCAATTTTTTTTTTTTTTTAATTTTTTTACCACCACGTATAGAGGGGAGTACACACACGCATCATTACTGTGTGTCAGTTGTGAATTTGAAATCCCCTTCAAAATATATTATCGTTAGTCACTGCAAAAGTAAGACTCTCGTTTTGTTTACGTACAAATCAAAACCAAGGACCTAACAGTCCGTTGTCCAAATTTGGGAAACGCTTACTTCTGCAAGCACAGCTCAAAGGAGGAAAAAAAAAAAAAATCGTTCTATTAATTTACTTTTATAGTAAGCAAAATTTTCACAAAAATACTAGGCATTGTGTCATCTAACCTACTATGCGAAATAACTGATGGACTTATCAGTGCCAGTGTGTAAACTTGTATATTTTAAGGCAAGCAATTTTTTTGCTGTGATGGAAATGATTGACTTACTTACTTGGGTCAGCGGGGGGGGCAGAAGAGAGATGATAGTTCACAGAATAACCTGTGAACTTTCACCCCTCTATATGGAAACTTGTTTCAGGGTCAAATCCTTGTAGCTGCCTTCTTGCCACGGTCAATGCCAGCCCTACTATTCACAACACTGCGGCCATCGAGGCCTAGGTACGTAAACATTTAAGGAGTTTTTAAAGTTCTTTACATCAAAACAGATTTTTAAAATTTCTGTTTATAAGCTGTCACCATTTAACAACTATTATGTTAATGATGATTTGAAAGAATGTGAAGACTACTGCTGCTAAACTGTGTGGCTAAGCGCCTTTTTTGCCTTTAAAAAAAGAAAAGAAAAACCTGTATGTTTCATGTGGATTTTCAGAGTAGAACTTGAATGTGCAACTGCTGTATAATAAAATGGGGAAACTTTTTTTAATATATTTAAAATACGCCTAAACACTTTGTGAATGTCATTACTAAATGTGCTTGTATTTTGTTCAATAACTAGGTACACTTGGCACGCATGTTGCCAGTTAAACAGTTAACACTGCCTCCTTTCACGAGATGAGAAGAGATGCATTGGAACCAAAGTAGCGTGTTTAAAAATGGACGGTTATCATTTTGTTAAATACATATGTCTGAAATGGGTCCCTTGCCACTTCTGGATTGCGTTAGAATTTTCTTAAGTTGTTCTTTTTTGAAGATATTGATTTGTGTCTCGTGTGTCTGCGTGAATTCTGGTTTATACAAGATGTTAATGTATATAAAGCTAAGGTGTATTTTTTTTTAATTGAGTCTGTGAAAGGTTGTTAGAAACATATTTTTTTTGGAAGTTCCCACTTATTTTTTAAAACTCCAGTGCTAACTTTAGGACTTGTTTTACTTTTCTTTTTCTGGATAGGATCAGTTCTTAAGAGCAGCCCCTGTAACTGGAGGAATGGGAGCTCAACTGATGAGAAAAATGGGCTGGAGAGAAGGAGAAGGGCTTGGAAAAAACAAGGAAGGCAGCGTTGAGCCTATTATGGTCGATTTTAAGACAGATCGAAAAGGTAAGCCCTTCCTTAAATGTCTTATGGCAGTATAAACTTCTCGTGTCTGTTTTGGAGATAGGCAAAATAACTTAGAAGCAGTATGCTTTTTCTGGGTACAGCTTCACTGTAAAAATTAAGAATCTCGTAGATGATTTTGGTACTAGTTTTTCAAGCCCTGGATTATGTAACTAGGCTTTGTCCTTATGCCTGTGAACTCTTCCAGACGTTCTTTAACTATCCGTAGCCTTCACCTTCCATTTTAAAACATGCTTCTCAGTGGTCCTTAAGTTAGAGATGTGTTTCAGTTGGATGTATGGAGAAGGCACGGACAGGGAAACGAATTGTGGAAAAGCCATTGTGGTTGGTCTAGAGAAAGTGGCTGAAGCAGGAGTGGAGCAGGACAGAAGATTGAATAGTTTGGTCAGTATTAAACTGAGGTGAAGGACAGAGGTGAGAGCTACAGAGTTGAATTACTGCTGCCTTTCAGCTGAAGTCCTGATACAAATGGACTGTCACACTGATGTTTTTACATCTTCTGAATGGATTCTGTTTCTTTTTTTGTCCATCTGATTTCCCTGCTGTTCTGTCTCCTACTTTGATCCTGCTGCGGGCAGCTCTGCTCAACTACAATGATGTTTCCCTGATTGTTTCCAAGGATTGCTTTAGCAGTCTTTCCTCCTCTTCTTTATATAGTCCGTGGCCACAGGGGGAGAACTGTTGCACTTGTCTCTTTTGATTAAAAGAACTATAATTTTATTTACAGGTAGCATGCAGCTGCTTAAGCTGGCAGCATGGTTTATAATAGGCTATCTCACCAGCATATTCAGCAAGAGTTGTTTTCAGAGTCAATGTTTATGAAAATTTTCCATCTGAAATGCCTAACCATTTTCTAACCATTTTCTAATGTTCTAACCATTTTAAATATAAGATGCAGAATTTCAGCAGTCGAGATTTAAGATTTAATTGTTTTATTATGCATGTTGCCAAAATAAGTGAGTCAACACTGGCTGCAGGAAAAGAAATTCTTACTGTTGTTCTCCTAAATATTTTTTTAAAAATTGGGAACCTTTAATACATGAAATATACCACATCTAATATTAAAGCATGAAAATACATTGAATTACGGGTTTGCGTTAGCTTTTGTCACTGCTCATAATTGAGCTCAGAAGAAAACAAAGCATATAAATGCAAATGTTGTGAAGTTTATTTGCAGAGATGCTGTTGGAGGAATCTTTTAGGTGTCAAAATCGCTAGTTCTTGATACAGAGATAGTTCAATACTGCTCAAGTGACCGAGCTAGAAGTGAAAATATAATTTAAACATTTGAATATTAAGCGCAAAGAGGTAGGAAATGAGAAAGCAGGCCTACGTTATGAAAATACCTGTTGGTTTTCTTCCTAAATTCTAAAGATCTTCTAGCAGCATAGTATGGTTTTATAAATAAAGAAGTGCAACAGTCTTGAAGTACAGAACACAAGAATGCAGACACCTTCGTTTTATGTGAATAATGACCAAACTGCTTTTCAGCTGTTTTGCTTCTGTGCAACCTCTCTGTTGTAGGGGGGAGGGCCAGGGGGCGGGAGGGGAGATATCTGGTGACAGAGTGATTGCCAAGAACATCTTTGAAAAATATTTCGTTACTGTTAGTTACTATGATCTTGTTAGACATTGTCTTGTACAGTTCTCACTGCTGGTAAGAGTTCCTTTAATTTAGCTTGATTAATGCCAGTCTGAGGGAAGAAATTAAAACCAGTCAATTTCAGTATTATTTTCTCAAGCAGCCTACATAACATGGTGGTGGATTTTTGTGGTGAGGAGGGAAGGGTTAGCTCTGTTCGTTAGGTTGCTTGCTTCTTGTCACGTCATAGGAAAGAGGCAGTATCACTGTACAACCTGTGAACATTTTGAACATTAAAATAATTTTGCTGGTACACAGGTGTGTCACAGCTCAATTTTCCAGTTCTAGAAGCGTCCCCCAGCATCCTCATATGCTTTCTGATATAAATTTCTTAATGCCTGCAGAATTTGATACCAGAGTTCCAAGCATCGAGCACTAAGGCCTGAGACAGGATTAGATCCTCTTTGTGCTGTACATTCTGTAGCAGATAGTTTGCTCTTTCTGCTTCAGAACAGTCTTCAATAACAATTAAAAATCTTAAATGGAGTTAAGGGATGCCTCTTCCTGGTACGTGATAGATTCATCTGAAAATACTGATAACCTCAGTGGTAGCTGGACTTTGCTTTAATTTCATAATTTTAAAATATTTTAGTATTATATATGCAATCTTACCTGATAATTTCTACAAAAAAATCTGAAGGTGTTCTGTGTTGCTAAAGAGTAATTGTTAATGTTGAGCCAACCAAGTCTATAATACAGGGAGACAACTTGCATTATGAAGAGGCAGCATGTTTCATGCGTTACTAAGAAGCAACTGAACAGTGATTATACATTCATGACGAGTAGCTGAAAAGCTCCTTCAAACATTAGTGTTCTTTGATGCTTAAATGTATACAAAGTCAACTTTAAAAAAAGTTCTGTGTAGAGGTTTAAAGAAAAGTCAGAATTTTTTAAAAGGAGTCTGTCTGTTATTAAGTAACCAACCTGTTTTTGTTTTACAAGGGTTTTTTAACACTTTTTTAGAACTTATCCCCCAAGTAAAATTGTGTTTCTAGTTGCAGGAACAAGCAGTTTGCTAAGGAGTTACTTGGTAGGCTGCACTAAGACATGAACCAAAGTGTTGTCTACCTTTGCCTTTAGACCCTGTTTTTTCTAGACAGTGAGTGAGATCTGTAGTTCTCTGACAGACAGCACTGAAACCAAACCCTTCTTGGGCTTTGCTGTCAGCCAGTACGTTGTTGGTTGTCTATGTTGAAAGAAGTGTGGTCCGTCAGAGCTTGTCGGAGTCCACTGCAGCTTCCTTGAAAAAACCCTCTTGAAGTACCAGGGACAAGATGTGGAGGACAAATGTCAGTGACTCGGAGCGAGGGAGACACAGTATTAATGCGGAGAGCGACAGAGGTTTTTTTTCTTTGGTGGAAATCTTTGGTTAGTTTGGATATAAAATTCGGTAAGGGAAAAAACCCAACTTTGTTTCAGTGTTTGTTATCTGTGAGGGTTTCATGCCACTTGAAAAGACCCTACTTAAGAGCTGCATTGAATATTGGGATGAAAATCTGGTAAGGAGGGAAGGATTTTCTTTTAAAGCAAAACAAACCAAAACAAAATGCCAGCCAAAAAAAGCTGAAGGAACAGGAAGAAACTGGAAACAATTGCAGTATCTCCCTGTCTATTCACCAAAGCCAGGAACAGAAACAAATTGAGGTAAGAAACAAAGTAATGTTGAAGGATTGAAGTCGGAGAAATTCTGAAAAAACGGTCAGGTACTTTGTTTTTGTGTATTTAAGGTAATGGCAAAGAGAATGGGAAGAAACTTGAGTCACCTCATAAGCATGGCATGGTTACTGGCATTTGATACGTTTTTGGCAATTGTTACACTTTATTTCTTACTCTTTACAAGAGTAAAAATGCTTGGCTCCTGTGTTTCACAGTAACTTCCATTGGAACCTTGTGCTCTTTGTATTGACTCGGGGCCCAGTTGCATGCTTTTCTGCTGCTTTATATTGAGGTGTGACTGAAGTCACGGTAATTGGGCTGTGAACTTGCACATAAAGGGTGAATATTTGAATACAGTTAAATAAAGAGAGCACACGTTGTAAGAGCACACCACTGTGTTACTCGAATCGTAAAAGGACATACTAGGTACACTTTTTGCTGTTTCATGGAAATACTTCAAATGCTTTGTATGTTAGAGGCAAACTGTTAAGACAGTGGATAACTTTTGGGTTGCACAAAACGAATACTGAATGAGGGAATGTTTTTAAGTTTATCTCTTGTTCAGTGTTTCTCCAAAGGTGGCATGGAAAACCAGGGCTTTCCTGACTTGCATAAGACTACTCAAAGTTTTCTACTGCCTCACTTGTTTGGAGTCTTCCTGGGGCAGTTGAGAAGAATGTTATGTGTATCATGGAGGGGAAAAAAAAAAAGCTGGATGAAAGGGAGGGTTGAAAGACTTCTGAAAAGACAGTTGCATGGTGTCTCCAGGTTTCATCTCCACTGATAGTGTTACTGCTTTATTGATGAGAATACAGAAATCGGGTGGGAATCAAAAATGTAAACTTTATCATGTTTTGTTTAGGGCTTGTTGCTGTGGGAGAGAAGGCACAAAAGAGATCTGGACATTATGTTGTGATGAAGGATCTTTCAGGTGAGATTCTTACTTGTCCAAAAAACCCGCCTCATTTAAAATGATTGCTTTGAGAGTGGCATTGACATTTCAAATACATTTTGTCTTTAAGGTAAACATCCAGTTTCTGCGTTGATGGAGATCTGTAACAAAAGAAGATGGTCACCACCCGAATTTGTGTTGGTGGATGATAGTGGGCCTGATCATCGCAAACATTTTATCTTTAAGGTATGCTTGAGTTTCCTTGTTCGCTGTTGGTTTCTCTACTAAAGGTGATGTAAATTCATGTTTATATTCGTATATGAACATACAAGCCACCTCAGGCAGGCTGAGGACTGCTAATTTCAAAGTCCTGTTCCTGTGAAGGCCAAATCAGAGCTTTCAAGCACATTAATATGTAAATTTGTCAAGAAACACACTATTCCACTCACTAAAATTCATAACGTATGTAGTTTCATATTCTTGCTGTTTACTTGCAGGCGTGATGTTGAATCTTACTGTTGTAAAGGTAGTGAGCGAGATTTAGCGATTTTTGCCCTTCGATTATGTTACGATGTGGGCTTTCTTTTTCGTGTAAGACCTTGTATTAGCAGTTACTGCTTGGAAATGATTGTGCTTACAGACCAGACGTGGATTTTGTCTACGTCTAAAGAGGAATTACATAAAGAACGTGCTTAAAAGAGCCTCGAAGCAGAAATGAAGAGGCACTTTCTAACACTTCCTTTTTTTCCTCCCCCTTTCCTAAACAGGTGAGAGTCAATGGGAACGAATACAGGCCTACTTTTGCCAGCCTTAATAAGAAGCATGCTAAAGCCACAGCAGCAACTGCGGCTCTCCAAGCGATGGGACTTGTACCAAAGGAAAGCATGGTTAATACCACCATGTTTAGGAGTGCCTCACACCGCTAGATATTGTTTTTTATATTGACATTATTTCAGATAATTTTACTCTGCACAAAAATGGTATTTGCCCTTTCATGTTGTAAATACATCGGCAATTCCCACGTTGTAAAAACTGTACAGACACCTTCAGGTTTTTCTTTTGTACCATCAAAATGTATTTAAATCATACTTAGTTTTTGGTATGTTTATATTGTTTACATTAGTGATGTAATTATTTCTTAAATGACTAAATCAGATGACAGACTCTGGAGGCATCAGTAATCTAAACCCTTGTTTTAAAACTCATGCAATTTCTCTTCAATACGGAATGTTAACACTTTCATACTGTTTTGTACTATGCTGCAGTTTTCCCTGGTCTCGGTAAAGCTACTCGTGCACTTTTGCCGACAGCTGGTAAAAGGTCGTGCGGCTTACGTGGCTTACCTTAGTCTAGTCGAGGCTGGCGTGTACTGCTGGACAGATACTGGGCCAGTACTGGGACCCCTGTGAGAAAGCCCGCGGCGGCAGCCCTGTTGTACAGTGTTAACGCTGCGGCTTCTCTTTGAATTTCGTGTGGGGGTTTAACTCGGTGGTGCACTGCGACTGGCCGTACAGCCCGTACTCTAGGACGTACGCAATTAGGCAAAAGACTTGCGTTCAAAGGGATGGCAGAAAGTCCAGCAATGGAACCGATCAGACTTGCGATGTAAAGGTGACTCTCCCTGCATGTTCTAAGAAGGGAGATGATGGAGTTGTCTATTCCAAACAAATTAACACACTGCCTGATGTTGATTGTATGAATTTGTGGTTAATGTGAATTTTAAACTCTAACAAATCTACAACTGGATTCGGGGGGGAGGGAGGGGATAGAATGATGCTTAAATTGTTGTACCCAACTTGGTCAATAAAGCAGCACAAGTTCATAATCTTAATCACTGGTCAGTAAACGGTAATTAAAATGTATGCCAAAACAATTTTTTGAAGAAACGCACAGTATAAAACTATGCTTTATGAAGATTATCAGCAGCTGCTAGGGTTGCAGAATCAGTTCTAGTCATTTTTGGTTGCTTTGGACTATTACCAAATTAACTCCTTGGGCTTAAATTTTCCGTAATGGTACTCTGCCCTTAAGGAGACAGCATGATCCAGAGTTTTGGCAGTTTGACAAGGAAGAGGACGTAGAAAGCTTTTCCTTCCTCTTTTTTTTCTTTTGTCCTTTTTTTTTTTTTTTAATTTAAGAAGTATTAGTATTTTAGCTATGTGCACTTTGAATTGGAAAGGGCATTGAACACCTCTTGCCAGATTTGTCTGAGTAATGAGCAGATTGCCAGGATTTACAGACTCTAGTGGTTCAGGTGCTTACTTCAGAAAAGTCTTTTTGAGGTCTCTCTGTATGACATCTACTGACCAGAGCTTCGTCTGGGGCAGGAACAAAATACAGTTTGTACGCAGTAAGCCTGTGCTCAGGCCTGACGTGAATAACCTTTGCAATGGTAGTAGGAACGTGGAGGTGAAGAATTACGAGTACCTATTCTTCCACAAAGCAAGGTGACTCTGTGTGTATTCTGTCAACTGTTACGGAACAAGGTGTCTGCCTTTGCCCTAAAGGGACAAGGATCAATGTCTCGTTTTGTGTACAGCAGAGAAATGGTATTTGGTTCTCCACCATGCATTTCTGAGAAATAAAGCCCCTTACTAGTCTGTCAAAGCGCTCTAGAAATGCCTAAGTTAATCTTAACTTTCATGGACATAGTTGTCTTTAATTAAACTTTTTTCCCTTTGGCGTCTCGCCTTCAGTCTCTGACTAAATGTTTGAAAATCTTCTTGCCTCGTTTGCTGAACTAGCTGGAAAGTGTTTATAAAATCCAAAAGAAAATGCGATGGTACAGCAATGGAAAGATCTACTCTGGGAGAACTGGGTATTGTATCTGGCTTAGCCTAAGTCTGGCTTTTTGATATACAACTTAAAGTCATTAACTCGGGATGTGGGAGCAGATCCTTATCAGGCTTTTGTTTAAATGTCTGGTTTGATAGAGCTAAAACATGAGAGATGTTGATCATTCTGTTTAGTCTGTGGTGTCCATGTCAGCAGTGGTTTCACAGCTGTACAGTATCAAATCTGGGAACGTACAATCTCTTGTTCTTTTTTTGGGGTCTATATTCCCCATGTATAATGTAAAGATACATGTTGTCTCACAGCAGCAAGGAGCAGATGAATTCAGTCCCATTGGAGACTCGGTTTAAAAGACAACTGTTTAGGAAAGTTCTGGATTTCATGCCTTAAAGATGTGGTACTGCATGTGGATTTAACCTTTGGTCTTAAGGAAGACATAAAAAAAGAAAATAATTAAGGTCTGTAATGCCCTAATTGTGACCGTTCTTGATTTTGAGGTTTCTGTTCTAGTTTCATTCCTTGTTGTTTAGAATGATACATGAATCTAAAGCTAGTGCAGCGATGTGCTTCTGTTAAATTTGTAAATTGGAATTGGTTTGAGTGTCCTTTGCATGCAGGAATAGAAAAGTAGTGATATATTAAAAAGAAAAACTAGGAAATGCTCTCTCGGAACCTGGTTATTTATGCAGCACTTTTAGCTGTCTTAAAGGTGAATAGCCTGTGACTCCTGCTGATGGAAGACGTGAACTGTTTGGTTGTTAGATTTCCTTTTGCTGCAGAATGACTTTCCTGGAAGTAATCTCACTGGAAGTGCTTCTGACTTCCCTGTCACACGAGGGAGGAGCATTTTGAAACAGGTGCCCCAGCACTTGTAGCCAGCTTCCACCGGAACGATTTCTTGGCAGTCTTCTCGTTTGTAGTTTTCAAATAGTTAGGACTGGAGGAGCAGGAAGGTGTGAAGCTCCTATCCTTGGAAATTTAAAATTGCCTCTCAAACTGCAAAAACTAGATGAAGTCTTAATCAACTGCTTCAGTCTCTAGCTCTCCCAAACAAATCATGGTTGTGATGAAAATTCACCCATTTGGACAGGTTAAATAAATCAATCTTACTGCTCGACAAGCGTCTGGAATAGTGGTAGTACGTATGGAAAATACCTTTAGGTAGAAGAGCAGCAGACTGGATAGTGTAATGCTGTAGCTTTTATAGGGAAAGTTCACTGGAGCCAAGTACACTTCAAGAACAGCGCTGAATCCCAGAGCTGTAAGCAACTGGAATATGCTTCCAAAATTCCAGGCAAAGCTATGACTTAAAACCAACAGACGCTTTACAGTGCAGGGAGGAGCTACAGCTCAGGTCACTGTGCAAAAGCATGTGATAAAAGAATTTGGTGGTAAAATTTTGAAATTACACAGTTCTAGATTACAGGAATGTACTTGCAATTCATTTTTTTTTTTTTTAAATGACTGCGAGCTATTAATTTGTGTTAGTATTTCCATACCTCGTATGCTAGATGCAGAAACACAAACTGGAACTGAAGTTAATAGTAATTATTGTATTTCCTAGAAAACAGGCAGGCTCAAGTCCACATACCAAAATGGTTATTGGCTTGATTAAAATTGGCTTCGCCATAGAGGCAGCTACAGAACTGCTTTTTTCCTATAGCTTTTGGTAACTTGTTCCGTGTGCTACCACGCGCCTTAAGTAGGCCCACTCCTTAAGGGCATGCTTGGAAGGTGCTGCCTCTTCCAGAACAGTGACGGGGAGCAGCGTTCAGAAGGGCTCTCCCGTGTGACAGCAGGGGAAGCTGTGCCCTGTTCTGTGCACCAGAATGTGGTCGCTGTGAGAACCACTGGTGGTGACCTGTAGCCCTGGGCTGGGGCTTAGTTCACAGCAGACTGCCAAGCCCAGTAGGAGCGGCTATGACTGACAGAGGCAGACAAGACAGATTAAAAAAAAAAGGCATCGAGTTAACTGTTGCTCTCTTAAAAAGTAACTAGAAATGAGTGTCATTAACACACCAGCCGCTTTAGAAACCCAGTCTTTCGGTATTCCCCACAATGCCATTGGGACTGGATTTTCACACCTGGTGTCTGATGCCAGTCAAAGGGGAAAAGTTCGGTTACTTGCTTCTAGATTAGTTAGGGAGAAGTGTAAAGATTAACTAAGGCTGGACTGTACTACCCTGAACTCTACCAGAAACAAGAGTATTTGACATTATCAAAGTATTTAATATTCTAAGGTGCCTTTTTCCATTATAAGAGAGGGACTTTCCCTTTATCTAGGTTTTCTAGATGTTACCTTGATCAGGGTACCACTAGTCTGACAGTGTCATGGTAGCTACTGTCAATTAACAAATGTAAAGTATTCCAGTGTCATTATATACATGCTGTATTCCTGGGGGACGATACTTCAGGTGGTGTCAATATAAAGTAACTGAAAGGCACAGGAAGCTTTCATCATGCCTCAATCTGCAGTAACTTCTTTACATGCTCAGATTTTTAGGTTTACAGGTTGTTTCCTCAAGTAAGACCTGGCTACAGTGTAATGTTACTGTTACAGGTGAGCAGAAGGGCACTGTAGCAGCAGCCCACCACACGGCGTGAACATTGCTTTACTTTCTGTGCAAAATAGTGGTTGAATTAGAAATCTCACTGGAGCGCACAAGCATGTGATGGCATTCTACATCTGGGTCTTCAGATTCAGTATTCTCTGCTGCAGGGATCCGATCGCCCTTTAGCTGTGTAAAAACCAACATACACACCTCCAAAATAACGGCTTTGCCTACTCCACCTGAAGTGAAACAGACCGCCTTAGACATGTTAATAGACTCTGCTATTGCTATGAACATACAGAGTCACAGCAGCAGCTCCCTGCTGCCTCCCAGTTTCTGTCTTCCATCAGGTGGCACAACTATTTCATTCCTCCAACTTGATCTGATTCAGGTGATAGTTCGTACAAATGGCTTCCGAAAAGTCTAGCTTATTTTAAGGTAAGCGTGGGTATGGGAATACTGGAATACTGGAGAGCTAGTCCAGGCACTTCTGAGGAATCTTAACCCTTTAATGTTGACTCAGCAGCAGCCAGAACTCTGTGTCCATCTGACTTTCATCTATCTTTGCATGCCGACTCTAAACCAAGAGGTGCAACATACCAAGGTGTAGCTCCCAAGCTTCTGGCAAGGTGCTGTAAGCAGCCTTGGAAGGGGTTTTGCCAGGAGTTCCCCCCCATCCAAAATAGTTAGGAGTTACTGCACAGAGCAGCAGCAGAGATTCCGCACTTCAGAACAGAATTTGCACATGCATAAAGAATGCAGACCTTTCAGACGCAATTCAGACCAATAAAAGATACTCATGTTTTATCAAGTTTTATTTTAAAAAGGCTTTCTAAAATACAAAAGGAGATGTCCAAGGTCTTTTCCTTCATTCCCTTTAAAAGTCCTTTGAAGTGTTTTATGATGGGTGATGTGCAATAGTTGTTGTCTGTAATGTGCAACTAGATTGTATCCCTCCCGGTATGGCATAGGTGCTGCCCACGTAGACCCGAATGAAATACAGCAACTGCACAGTAGAGAGCATTCTTTTCCATGAAGTGGAAACAAGCATAGCTAGGACTTCCAGGTATAAGCATAATCTTTCATTTCCAGAGATCGGATGCAAGATTTTCCCAGTGTTGGACACTGACTCAGTTGATCCAAAGTCTTAGGATGCAGTCCACAGGCAGTAAGATCTTTGTGTATGGTTTCCTGTGGAAATTCACATGAAGATAGACATGGAATAGGTATTTCTTGTTGAAATACCTGTAGTTCTTAATGTTCATTTGGGTACCTGTGGGGAACTCTGTAAAAGCTAGTTTTCCAATTATTCAATTCCTGAGGGAATGACAAGCCACAAGGACTGTCAGGTGGTGATCACAAGTAACTGGGTGTAAACCCCATATATTACGGGAAAGTTTTGTGTCACTTGGTGTCCTATGGTTTGCAATAAAGATACTATTCCTAACAGGAAAGATTGTCTCTACTAGTTTCCTTACCTTATTTA